AACAGCGCTGTTGCGTGCCGGCCGTCGTTTCCCGTGCGGCCTGACCCGGGGGCGGAGTGCATGAGACTAACCAGCCGTATGCACCCGCCCCTCGCGCTGTGCTTCGGCCCTGGGCCCCCGGCTTTTCAGCCCACAGTGTAATCAACGTCATACATACATACATACATACATACATACATACATACATACATACATACATACATACATACATACATACATACATACATACATACATACATACATACATACATACATACATACATACATACATACATACATACATACATACATACATACATACATACATACATACATACATACATACATACATACATACATACATACATACATACATACATACATATGTCACCACCACCACCACCACTCACCACGGGGACAACCTTATCGCTTCTTTCCCCAGTACCAACGGCCAAGTGACTGCCTCAGCTGACTGCTTTCGGTGTTATGGAGGAGTGGAGAGGAAATGCCCCAACCACCCAAAAGGTGCCCGGGACAAGATGTTCGGTTACCCGGCGGATATCAAGCACCGTGACTGGTGACCGGGCATTCCGTCGCTGGCGTCGAGCCCCCTCTCCCACCACCCTCCCCCTGCTGGGGCCCCCTAAACCCCTAAAACACCAACTCCTTCTGGCCCGACACGGAGGGTACAGAAGGAACAGAAGGAGCGAACCCAAATGTGTGTGTCAGTCGGTCCACCCGCAAGAAAGAAACCAAACAACAATTCCCCCTCCCCCATTGACATCACTGTTATTGTTATTGTTACCATCGCTCTAGTTAATACAGCTACCAGTCCATAAAACCAACCAACCCAACAGGTAAAGCCGCAAACCAAACGCGGCCTTCGAGTGTGTTGTGTGTCTGTGTGTATGTCCTGTGTACGCCAAGCGTGAACCAACACAGCAGCAGCCGCAGCGGTGGCGGCGGCGCCGGCGGCGGCGGCTGTAGCTACCCTAATAAACCGCGAGTGCAAAACCCTTAGTAAATTTAGCAGTCGGAAATGACCCTAAGTGTGTAAGACGGCGCACCAAGGGCGCATGGCGCTTTGGCGTCATGATGATGCGATGCATTGCAATGCGATATGCGCTTCCGTGGCATGCCACCATACCAGTACGGCAGTGTCGTACGAGTAGACTAAGGTTACGCGAACCAGTATCATAACCATTTACGAGAATGATCAGGTACCCACACCACATGGTTACACAGGTAAAACATACATACATACATACATACATACATACATACATACATACATACATACATACATACATACATACATACATACATACATACATACATACATGCATACATACATACATACATGTGTGCTCCCGACCCTTGCGCTGTGTTTCGGCTTCGGCCCCCGGCTCTCGCGGCCCACAGTGTAATCTAAGTCATACATACGTAGATACATACGAATATACATATACGGTGCCAGACACAGCCGATATGCTAAGGCGCGGCTTAGTGTCCGTGGCATGTTTCAAGTTCAATACCAATGGACAGTGGGGCAACCATTCCTCGACAGTAAGCGGGTATTTGCACTCCTTCGTCGACGGACGATGAGGGACCAGGGTCATATGCGAGCCGACCAGTAATGGAGTTGTCCTGGTGGGATATACAGAATGCTGGTCGTTGGTAGTTGGTGCTGAATCAGAAAAAGTCACTGGCTTCACAGAAGCCGCGGCACACATATGGGCGATAAGAAGGACGATGAGGGTGGTGGCGTCCCCCCCCTCATACCCCCGGGGGGAAGGCATCGGGTAGCGGGTCGCAGGGACTACACCGGCAGAGGCGAGTAGCGGCGCCACTCGCATGTCAAGCTGTAAGCCCCCTACTTTAAAACAATCATACATACGTACATACATACATACACACCAATAACTTTGGGTCGTAATATCATCATGCGCAAGTCTTTCTTAGGAGTAGTGATCAAGTTATCAAGAGAAATGCACATAATGCAGGAAGTTCCAGAAACAGATCACACGTATCAAGGTACGACTTACAGATGCAGACCCTGAAAGGTTCCCAGATCGATGCTACCAATGAACGGTGTGAAAATCCATCGACTGCGGGAGAAATTGGATACGTCCCCCCTGTCGTTGGACGGTGATGCGTCTGGAATATAATTATATGTGAGATTTGTGAGCCGTCCAGGACGGGTGGACTTCAAGCCGCCGTTGAACCCGATCGATCCCATTAGATGCAGGTGGTAGGGGTGGTGGGTGCATAACCAGGTGAAAAGTCACTGACTCCTCTAAGAGAAGTCGGCATGGGTGAGAAAGATCCGCATGCTTCTATGATCTCGGGGGGGAAGGGGACTGCCCGGCCCGGCTAGCCGCTACCGGTAAAGCTAAGCCCTCCCACTTCACACACTCACACCAGAACAGAACAAACCAGAGCAAGCCTCCCAACCAGCTTTGAGTTTCGATGACGATGATGCAACCACGCAAAAACCCAACAGCAAAACCAGGAACACACACACACACACATGCATATGCACACACACACACATGCACATGCACACGGACGCATGTGCACTCGAGAACAGCCTCACGCACAAGTGTGTGTTTATATGTAGCTAAAGGTGCACTGTACTCCACCATCGCACACACATAAAACCCATACAAAACCCATACATAATATACAAACACGCATTCACACGCACCCCACCCCACCCCACCCACATTCACACATACGTACATACAAACAGCAAACAATGGCCACATAGAAAAAGCAACACCCGCCCCAGCCCAAGTGCATTTTATCTTTGGAGTGTTAAAGTTTTTTTAGAGTATGTTCACATCGTCAGGGATATTTTGGTTATTTTGGCGTCGTACGGAATAATTCCCTTCCGGCTTTATAAAACACACTCTTCAGCATACATGCTTAATAACACACACCTAGGACAAATGAAAAAGCCCTAGCTTTCCTCGGCCGTAGATGTACGGCGTGTAACGGCCAATGGCATGGCATAGTACGGCACAAGGTTGACAAGGAAAACAACAGCACCAGATCTCGGGAGTGTGTGGATTTGTTAAAACCAGTGAAAGCACTGCTACCGAAAATGTCAGCTGACAACGGTTTTGCTCGTCGTGCTGGATATGCTGAACGGAACAAAATGCGAGCGCGCCGAGCTGGGGCCCCGGTCACTCGATATCCTTAATATGTAGTGTGGATGTCCAAGCCGCGAGATGCGTAGTTAAGTTTTTTTCGTTTTTTTTCAGCCGTCGCCTTTGAATCATCAAATGCGGAGGATTGGTATACCAAAACCATTTTCGAGCTATCCTGGCACGTATACATTACGACATGAGGCACGTACACATTACGACATGAGGCACGTATACATTACGACATGAGGCACGTACACATTACGACATGAGGCACGTACACATTACGACATGAGGCACGTACACATTACGACATGAGGCACGTACACCGGCGGGTTCGCGGCCAACACCTGGATACGCTGAGCCCTCCGCTTTCTTTTAATCATGTCGCCTGACTTCTGTCACAAATGCAAATGCGAATGAAATGGATGTGCGTGCTACTGATACTGCAACTGCTACTGCTACTGCGCTACTAAAAGAATTGTGGTGCAGCATCTCTGCCGCATGTGCGAAGTTGTGGCCGCAACAATGCCGTACAGTACCCTGCAAAAGTCTCGAGACCAAACCCTTGTCAAGGGCCCCTCCATCCGACTGCAAAAGTCACTCACATCAATCACTCCAAAACCCGCCTCTTCTTGCAAAGGTAGGAGTACGGGCATTCGCACGTGATTATCGTATATGACGTACAGAATGCCGTACGTGTCAGAACCCCATTATTTGTGTGCCGTTATCATCATCATGAGGATGGCGGGGACGACGCCCTCATGGCGCGTCGACGTCCTCATCCGTACATGCCGCCAGCAGAGCAGGCGGCATCGCCAGCGACACCGCTACTTCGTCAATGAGCCCGGTGCCGCGCTGCACCTGCTGCGCCTTGCCGCCGCCGCCGCCGCCGCCGCCGCCGCCGCCAATATCCTCCTGCTGCAACAAAGCATCTCCAGGTTGCCCGCGCATCCTTCTTAACTGTAACGCCACCACTGGCTGACCCCGCGGCAACCCCTTGAGCTTAAATTCTCCAAGGTCAACCACCTGTACGGCACGTGGCACCAAGGAGGCCTTACCTGGCGCCGCCGCAAGCACCGCCGCCGCCGCCGGCGCGAGGCAGGCGGCGCCCTGCGGCAAGGCAGGGGTACGGCCTTCGGAATCGTTCAAGATCGGAGGGGCGCACGCCGCCGCCAGGCTCGCCGCAGCCGCCGCCGCAACGGCGGTGCCGACACCGCTGCCGCCAGCACCGCCGCCGCCGCCAACCTCCGACACGTCGGAAATGCTGGCGGCGCCACGGTCACCGCCGCCGCCGCCAGTAGGTAATCTGGAAGCAGCGGCAGCAGCGGCGGCGTCGGAGCCGGGCAATGATGTCGGTACGAGCCACGACGGCGCCAGCTGCAGCGCAGCCGCTGGCGGTGGCGCCGGCGGCGCAGATGGCAACTTGGCGAGTCCGAAGGCGCCGCTGCCGCTGTTCGTCGTACGGTAGACGCTTGCAGGCCCAGTGCCGCAGGCAGCGGCGGCGATGGGGATGCCTGTCGGTCTGTATGTCAGGCTGCTGCCGTTCGTACTGCCTCGGTGCATTAGCGGGGACTGTCCAGTTACCAAAGAGGTACCACGGACCCGTGGGTCCCGGAGCGGCGCTGGACCGGCCAGCGGCGCCAGAGGCGTCAGGCGGCTGCTGCGTGCATCACTTCCCACCTCTATATCAACAGAAGTGGAAGACAGCGGCAGAAGACACAGGCCACCAGAGGACAATGAAGGGGAGATAGGAGGGGAGTTCGTTCGGGGGTGGGGGGTTAACCGTGGGGGCTTTGTGTGTGTGAGGGGGGAAGGATAAAGGGGTTAGGTTCCGCAATGAGGGATGACGGGCAGCAAGTGGGCAGATGGACACCCCCTCGTGTTTGTGTGTGTGTGTATGTGTGTGTATGTGTGTGTATGTGTGTGTATGTGTGTGTATGTGTATGTGTATGTGTGTGTATGTGTATGTGTATGTGTGTGTGTATGTGTATGTGTATGTGTATGTGTATGTGTATGTGTATGTGTATGTGTATGTGTATGTGTATGTGTATGTGTATGTGTATGTG